AATCAAGCCAACTAATTCAGTGACAGTTTTAGGAATGTTTGGCAATCCATAATTGTTTGTTGATGATGCATACTTTAGCAAACGCAGCAAGCGTTTCAGATACTCATTGCCCTTTGGCTCTAGAACTCCAGAAAGGATGAGCCTCACTTTTGATGCAATATACGTGCTGGCAGAATGCATCATCATTAAAACTGCTCTTGAGGATGATTCAATTCTATAGGTATCATCATTTTCACATATTTGGCATCCTCTGTGAATTGCTTCTACAAAAGACACGCTATCAAAGGATATCAGCATTTGCAAGGAAAATATCTCTCAGTAGCTAAAAAGACAAAAAATGATAGACAAAAATACACATATAGGATAAAAATAAGAAATGTGGATAACTGGATAAGCAAAACAAGGTTTCCTGATGAATGGGAATATTACCATGCACATGTGATAAGGATGTCAACATAGAGCTCATTTTGATGTACACTTGGTCTAAAATCTTTCGCACAGTGCAGTGCAAGCCATCCAAGAATCTCCCAAATATATGGCCTTAGTGCTAGAAGAAAATTTGCATCAAGACCTTCCTGAGCAATTAACATTTGTTCCTCAGTTGACAAAGGATGTTCTGACACTTGTTTGTCAAAATTTTCAAGAAGCAGATCAAGAAGGACTTTGTCAATCCCTTCCTCCCAAAAGCAAATGTGATGTTCTCCTGGCCACCGAGTAATTAGAGCCAATCGACAGGCCTCTTCTAGCAAAGACATCTGATCATTTGCAATCTTTCCAGAGCCCAAGCTCCATCCTCTCATTCCTCCAATAATGGCTTTAACTAGAGGCCCAGAACGTAAGCTTGTCATTATTTTGCATCGATGTTCATCTGCCTAAGTATCAAGCGGATAAAATCACACAAACAACAAATATAAACTTCTGTTAAGGGTATTTGCAAATGAAACAAAATTATAATCCTTACCACTAAATGCTGGGCGAGTCTAAATCCCTCTATTCTAATTGACAGAGCCTCTGAGCCACCCATCGAATTAAACATCATTGGTAGAATGGTTTCTCCATTTTCTAGAAGCTTCTTGGCCACTATATTGCATAGAGCTGGCAAAAAGAGATATGAAATCATTCATCCAGAAATTAAGGGATAAAACTAGTGCATTGAACAAAAAGAAAGATAAAAAAGCTCTTATACAGATGATCAATACCTAATGCAGAATACAATTTCAACACTGCAGCTTTTGTAGAGACATTAGATTTTGTGCAACTATCTTCTAAAACTTTCATCATTATAGTATCATTCCAAACAGAAAAACGAGATGGAGGCCACTGCCACAATATCATACTCAAAAGGGAAGCCATCGCTTGAAAATACTCAATAGATAAGGTGCCACCAGGAAATTCCCGCATAATCCTAATAATTTGAATAACAGTCTTTGCTTCTTTGACTATCTCCCAAACTTCTTTCTCACTCTTAACACTTAGATTGGAGAGGATCATGTTCAAAGCAGTGGCACAGGAGGTAGAAACTTCTAAATTTTTGGAACACAACAAGGATGACAAAGGATTGATGAGATCTGCCATGTACAATTGCATGATTGAACAGTTAGTGCCAATCAACTTGACTACCATATTTGCTGCCATGCCTACTATAGCTCCACTTTTACATTGCAGAATCCACACCAATGCCCCAACTATATCAGCGAGTGAATCCTGGAAGTGGAATCCAAAGCAATGAAAATTGCTAAAAGGAGGACAAAGTAGCATGTGATACTTACTAACCAATCAAAGCAGACTCATATTCACTGACTTCTAACAGTATAAGTACACATTTCCCAGAACCAAACACAGTAGCATGAATGAACACTAATAACACCTGAACTAACATTCATCAACTACGCATCAAAATACCGAGAAAGACATGGAAAAGAACTAAAGCAAAAAAGGGGAATATGAGATAAGCAATATCTCCATCTACATGAATGTTGAAACTGATATCCACCATGGGAAAGAGCAATCTCTACAAGTATGTTTTTGCATCATAACTAAGTAAGGCATTTACTTGCTGCTTTTCGCTACTTTTTACGTCCTCAAAACTGCTTTAAGCCAAAAAAGCAAATAGTATAAAGGGAAAATCATATTTGAATACAAAAAAGTAAACGGCTAAACTCTTTGATTTCTAATTCTTTGAAAAAAAAAATTGCTTTTATATCATAACGTGGTGTTTTTACATTTTGCCTCCGGAATATATATATCAGAAATAACAGACACTAATTACTAGCAGCATAGTGGTCATTCTCAATACCCTATACAACCCAATGATCAAACGAAATAAATAATATCAAATTGAATTAAAACATAAGCCCAAGAAGAGAAAAAGAAAAACCTTGAGAAGCCGATGGTGGGAGGCGTCTCCAGAAATACAATCAAGAAAAGCAGCAAGGGAACGAATTACATGCCTCTGAATCTCTATATCCGTACACTGCCATTTCTTTTCTTTATCATCACACCATCTGCCCATCACCCAGAACCCAATTTTAGTAATTGATAAAAAAAAAATCAGATATAATTTAACAATACTTCAAATAAAAGAAATAAAGAAAGAAAGGGAAAGTTTACCTGGTGATGCCAAGGCTTAAAGCATGTTTCAGACGTTGATGGAGAGTGTGTAAATGGCCACTGCTACTGCTTCCTCTATTGCTATCTGCTGCTGCTCCCCGTTTTGTTGATTTCATTAGTTTTCTCTTGGCTATACTCTTTGATGGCTGATTATTTCAATTACAGAAAATTTTTTTCCGGGAAAAGATTTCTGACTTGTTCCTTTCGCAATTTTTCTGGGTTTAAGAAACGATTTTAGCAGCAAGCGGGGAGGGCGGTTTTAAGTGCTTCTGGAAAATTGCGGGAAGGATCGGACTGATTCATGCACGTGCATGTCACGTGATACATTGGGCACGTTTGGTTGGGCCATTGTTCGTTGTTTAGTAATAATAATCATTCCCATTTCTCGAAAAAACAAATACTAGTTTCTTATATACAGTTTATTTAATTTAATAAATACTAATATTTGTTTATAAATTGTAATACCCATAAAAAAAATAAATATATCATTTTATTTGATAATTGCAAATATAATCTTAGGGTTATTAATAAAAAAAGAAAAGAAAAAAAGACCTTTTTAAAAATAAAATTGATATATTTTAGTTAGTGTCAGATTTCATCATGACGTTTAAAAAAAATTAATCAGCTTTACCTTATCGTAAAAAGAAAATTAGTCAGTTTTATCTTAACATAATTTAAAAAAAAGTAGTCAGTTAATCTTATTATGTTTTAAAAAGAAAAGTAATTAGTTTTATCTCAACACGTTTAAATGAAAAGCAAATAAAAAAAATTAGTAGAAGTAACTCAATTTCTTATCGTCAAGCTTTAAAAAAAGATAGTAAGAAAAAAGAGAAGAAAAAAAAAACAAAGAAAAGGGAAAAGTGTTTAAGAAAGTTTTGATTAAGGTATGAATAGGGTTATATCTTGCAAGGATGTGGTGTCTGTTGTGCCTTGAGTTTGGGGGCATGACAGATTTAGTGGTATCAAAGCCTAAGTTAGACATAATTGTGTAGTTTTTGACGTTTAAGCAAGATCCGAGAAATGGGTAAGAAAAAAAATAAATTGAGACGTTTACTTTCAATTAATATTTTATATATACTTATACGAGTGTTTTATGTTAGAGTAAAAAAAAAAGATTAATAGTAATTGCCCTTGTTGTGAATAACCATTATTCCTTCTCATCGAGATCGTGAGCCTAATAATGCCAAACTTGCAATTAGTGTAAGAGTTGTTGGTGCCAATGGTTCTTGCCTTGAGAGACTCCAAAATCCTCCAAAGTAAAATCAAGACAATGTTGACACATCAGATGCTCAAATGGCTATTGGAATTAACCAACCTCCTACCAACCTGATCAATGGGACATAGGGTGTTGTGCTTGGAAATGATGAAAAAGTACTGAACTTGATTCAAGAAGTAGTTGATTTGGTTAGAGAGCAACGACAACATCTGCAACCGGTATAACAAGTTGATAATTTTACAAAGTGAAAAGCCTTGGGTGAGTTTAAGAAAACTACCACTCCTCTTTTCAAGGGTTCCACAAACCATGATGATGCAGAATTATGGATTGAGGAGATGGAGAAAGCTTATGATGTCATGTGTTCCAAAGATCAGGACAAGGTTAGATTTGCAGTATATCTATTTCAAGTAAGTACACCTAATTGGTGGAAAGGAGTAATGTGCACTCATGAAAATGACCTTGAGTTCTTCAATTGAGGGAATTTCCACACTATCTTTTATGCCAAGTATTTTCCTCAGAGTAAGCTGTTACAATTAGAGAGGGAGTTCCTTAATTTGGTGCAAGGTAGTATGACAGTGAATGACTATAAGGTTGAGTTTGATCGGTTGTCCAAGTTTGCCACTATTTTAGTTTTTAACGATGAAACTAGGGTTAGGAGGTTCAAAAATAGTTTGAATGCTCACATCCATATAGGCTTAGCTCCATTTCATTTGATTAGCTACAATGAAGTGGTTGGTGGGGCGAAATCTTTAGATTTGTATGGAGAGAGACCTAGGAGGCAAGGAAGGATTTTTAAAAAAAGAGAGGCAAAGATTCAAACTTTCAAGGTAAGAGAGCTTTTGTAGTCCTTCCAAATTTTGTTACTTTCAACAATAGACTTCCTCCTAGCGCAACTCAATCTTACCATGGCAGGATGTCTCAACAGAGGCTTACGTGTTCGTTTTGTGGTTGGGGACATTAATCTTCAGAATGTAGACATGTTACTAGTGCTTGCTTTAGATGTGACCATTAGAGCCATCATATTGTTGATTTTCTTTTGATTTCCCGAAAGTCCCAATCAGTGCAGAAGCCATAAAACTCTCGTACCTTTGAACGGATAGTGTTAAGGACTCAATGTACTCATGTTGTTCAGTAGACCCACACCTTTTACTAGACATCAAAAAGTGGGAAGACCTCGCACCTAGGGCCTTGCTTACGCTATCATTTAGTCAAATGTAGAGGCATCCAATACCGTTATATCAGGTACATTGCCAATTGCCTTAACTTTTGCTTATGTATTGTTTGATACTGGTGTATCTCATTCTTTTGTATCTGGTACATTTGTTCAAAAGTCTACCTTACTTTGCATGTTTTTGGATTATGAACTATGTCTAGACACTCCAATTAGAGGTGAAATTATCTCATATCAAATATGTAAGATGTGTGTGATAAGGATTGAGGATAAAGAATTGTTTGTGGATCTACATGTTTTAGAAATGTAAGATTTTGATGTAATTTTAGGGATTGATTGGTTAGTTACAAATTTTGCTAAAGTTGACTATCAAGAGAAAAAAGTGGACTTTGAGATTCTTGGGGAAACACCTTTTTCTTTTCATGGTAGTAGTACTTACACTCCTTTGCGAGTCATCTCTATTTTGAAAGCTAAGCTATTGCTTACTAGTGGTTGCAAAGGATTTTTGGCAACTATTACAGATAATAGAATGAAGGAGTTGAGGATTGAAAAGATTCCTATTGCGAGGAAATTTCTTGACATTTTTCTTGAATATCTACTTGGTTTACGTCTTGATAGTGAGATTGACTTCTTTATTGATTTGGTTCCAGGAACTGGCCATATTTCTAAAGCTCCTCATAGAATGGCTCCTACAGAATTGAAATAATTGAAAGAGAATTGTAAGAACTTTTTGATTGAGGCTTCATTAGACCTAGTGCATCTCCTTGGGGAGTGCTAGTGTTATTTGTGAAGAAAAAAGATGAGAGTATGAGGTTGTGCACTGATTATCGAGAGTTAAATAAGGTAACCATGAAGATTAGGTATCCTTTACCTCAGATAGATGATTTATTTGATCAATTAAATGGGGCTCAAGTGTTCTCTAAAATCGATCTTCGGTCTAGTTACCACAAGTTGAAGGTAAGAATTGAGGATGTCCTCAAAATTGCTTTTCATACTCGACATGGGTATTATGAGTTCCTTGTTATGCCTTTTAAGTTGACAAATACTCCAGCTGCTTTTATGGACTTAATGAATTGGGTTTTTAAACCTTATTTAGATAAGTTTGTAGTTGTTTTTATTAATGATATTTTGGTGTATTCCCCTAGCTTAGCAAATCATGAAGAACATTTAAGGCTTGTTTTGGAGACTTTGAGGCAAGAGCAGTTTTTTGCCAAATTGAAGAAATGTGAATTTTGGCTTTTCTAGTGTTGCCTTCCTTAGGCATTTGGTGTTAAAGTATGGGATTTCGATGGATTCAAAAAAAAAGTTGAAGCAATGGTGAATTGGAAGAAACTGAATAATGTTTGTGAGATTCGTAATTTTTTGAGTTTAGCAGGGTACTATAGGTAATTTATGGAGGATTTTTCTCGTATTGCCTTGCCTTTGACCATATTGATATGGAAAGGGATTCATTTTGAGTGGAAAAATGACTATGAAAAGAGCTTTAAGGAATTAAAGAAAATATTAGTATCCGTTCTTATATTTACCATACCTATTAGTGGTAAGGGATTTGTTATTTATAGTGATGCTTTCAAAAAAAGACTTAAGTGTGTTCTTATGTAGGGTGATAAGGTGATTGCTTATGCTTCTAAGCAGTTGAAACCTTATGAAGAGAATTATCCTACTTATGATTTGGAGTTGGCAACAGTGGTTTTCAACTTAAAGATTTAGCAACATTATTTGTATAGTGAGTCTTATGAGGTCTTTATAAGTCATAAAAGTTTGAAGTATCTTTTCATGCAGAATGAGTTGAATATGTGACAGAGAAGATGGTTAGAATTGTTGAAGGATTATGACTTAACCATCAATTATCACTCAAGTAAAGTGAATAGAGTTACTGATGCTTTAAGTGGAAAAACTTTTGAGAACATGGCTATATTGATTTCTTCCCAAAAACAGATTTTAGAGGATTTGCAGAGGATGGATATTGGTGTACATATGCATGGTTCTTGAGCATTACTAGCTAACATACGAGTACAACCAACTTTAATTCATAGGATTAAGATAGCCTAAGCAGATAATCTTCAACTTCAGCACATTGAACTTAAGGCTGAATCTAGTTTAAAACCAAACTTTAGGATTCATGATAATGGCTCTTTGAGGTTTGGTGATAGAATTTGTGTTCTCGATGATGCGGAATTGAAAAGAAAAATTTTAGAGAAAGCTCATTATAGTAATTATACAATCCATCCTAGTGGTACCAAGATATATAGAGATTTGAAGAACACTTTTTGGTGGAGCAATATGAAGAGAGAGATTGCACAGTTTGTAGCTTAATGTTTAACATGTCAGCAAGTCAAGGTTGAACATTAGAGATTAGTAGGATTGTTGCAATTCGTCTCTATTCTAGAATGGAAATGAGAACGAATTACTATGGACTTTATATCTGGTTTACCAAGAACCTCGAAAAGTAATGATGGCATTTAGGTGATTGTTGATAGATTAACAAAGTCTACTCACTTCTTGGCTATTCGTATAGGAATGTCATTGGAAAAGTTAGCGAAGTTATATATGGAACAGACTGTGAGATTACATAGGGTACCAGTGTCCATTGTATCTGATCGAGATTCTCGATTTGTGGTAAAATTTTGGGAAAGTCTGCATAAAGCTTTAAGTACCAGACTTAATTTCAGCACTGCTTTTCATCCCCAAACAGATAGTCAGTCCTAGAGAACTAATCAAATTCTTGAGAACATGTTGAAAGCTTGTGTCCTAGATTTTGAAGGTTTTTAAGATCGACACTTGTCATAGCCGAAATTTGCTTATAATAATAACTATTAGTCTAGTGTCCAAATGGCTCCATTCGAAGCTTTGTATGGCAGGAAGTGCAAGTCACCTCTTTGTTGGGATGATGTGGGTGAAAGACAGTTATTAGATCCCGATCTTATTCAGCAAGCAGTTGAGAATGTTCAGTTAATTAGAGAACATCTTTATACGACTCAAAGTAGACAGAAAAGTTATGCAGACAATGGAAGAAGGAAGTTAGAATTTGAGGTTGGAAATCATGTGTTACTGCAAGTTTCCCCTACTAAAGGAGTAACACAATTTGGGATTTGAGAAAAACTTAGTCCTCGTTATGTGGGTTTTTTTTTGAGATTTCAGACATGGTGATATGGCTTATAGACTAGCGCTTTCACCTGCTCTATTAGGAGTGCATAATGTGTTTCATGTTTCCTTGTTGAGGAAATATGTTCCAGATTTTAGTCATGTGGTAGAGTTAGCTACTTTAAGACTTAGAGAAGATTTGTCTTATGATGAGCATCCTATACGTATTATGGATAGGAAGAAGCAAGTTTTGAGAAAGCGGACTATTTGTTATGTTAAAGTGTAGTGGAGTAATCACATGAACGATAAGCGACTTAGGATTTAGAAGAGAATATCAACGAGAAGTATCTTTACCATTTTGAGGACCAAGGTAAGAGTTTAAAGGATTAAACTCCTTTTAAGGAAGGGAAGATGTAATAGCCCTCACAAATATATACATATATATATATATATATATCACTTTATTTGATAATTACAGATATAGCCTTATGGTTATTGATAAAAAGAGAAGAGAAGAAAGGACTTTTTTGAAAATAGAGTAGATATATTTTAGTTGGTATCAGATTACATTATCATATTTAAAAGAAAATTAGTCAATTTTACCTTAGTGCGTTTAAAAGAAAGCAGCCAATTAATTTTATTATATTTTAAAAAGAAAAGTAATCAGTTTTATCTTAATATATTTAAAAGAAAAGCAATCAATAAAAATTAGTATAAGTTAACTCAATTTCATATCGTCAAGCTTAAGAGAAAGATAGTCAAAAGAAAAAAGACAGAGGAAAGGGAAAAGTGTTCAAAGAATTTTTGATTAAGGCATGAACAGGATTATATCTTGCATGTGCACGGTGTCTGTTGTGCCCTAAGTTTGGGGGCGTGACATAAATAATTCAAAAAATTAATATGAAAAATATTATTATATTTTATAAACTATAAAAAGTTCCACATGTTTGTTTACCATGTATTTAGTATATCAAACTAAAATAGAAGACATTCATGTGTATTTTTTTTTATTTTTTTGATAAAATTTATTAATGTTTGAGCAAAAGTTCTCTACATGTTGAGCAGCTCAAGCAAATCAGAAATAGAATGATCAATTGAACTACCAACCATTTACAAGTGGTAAAGTTGTACATTTTCAACAAAAAAGCCAGCCTCAATTGAATCAATTGAGCTCTCTGCAAAGGCTGATTAATTAAACTCCTTGTAGTGTATATCAATGATGGGGTGATGCATTTTGAAGGAGGGCATGGGAGAAAAAGAAAAAAGTGGTTGGGCAAGAAAAGAGAAAGAAGATGAGGCAATTGATAGGTAAGCAAAGGGTTTCTCAAAATTAGGAACTATTGGTAACGTATAAAATGTAAGAAAGATTAACATTTAGGGATGATGATAAAATCTGAAAAAACTTTTAAGAACTCAAAAAAAAAAAAAACAGAAGAAGAATGAACAAGAGAGTAATCGAGAATAAGGAGAGATAAAATGCAAAGGCTAACTTAGAGGTAATGTGATATACACCGTTTCATGAATAATTAAAACAACTATAGCTCTAGAATGTAACAAGCTAATAATAAAGAAAATCAATGGAAAAATTCTCAAAAAGTCAAACTATAACAACAGTAAAGTAAAATATACTAATAAATTAAATTCCAAAACCACTTGAGATAATAGAGTTAAATGGTAAATGGTTGCTTCTTCAACATATCTTCATCTTTTACCATTTAAAATTTTTTTCCCGTGAACTCTATTGATGCTATTGTAAAGAACTTTTCTACAAGATAGAAGATAATTTTTCAATACCCTAACACCTCAAGCTTTAATCATAATTTCATATGAGTTTATTAATTTTTGACATAAATAATTTGTCTCAAGTGTATAAACGACATTAAGGGATAAACATAAAATGTTTAAAATACCTTTTTTTTTTAAAATCTCTCCACTTTTTTTTTAATCTCTGCACTAGTTAACTACGTTATGGTCAGCCACTCCATGGTCAAATTTGGCCATGGAGTGCCAAATTTGAATAAATCACGTTCCTTTAATGCTCCAAAGGAAAGGGAGCACCAAATCTAATGCACCTCAAGGGAGGGGAGCATCAATTTGGTGCTCCCCTCAAATCGATGCTCCTTTAAAGGGCCTCAACACTCCCTTTTGAGGCTTCCCATCCGCAAGGGAAGGGAGCACCAGATCAATGCTCCCTTGGGAGCTTCAATGTTCCCCCAGGAGCAACAGATTAGACCTTTTGCGGAACGTCGTTCATCACAAAGTGATTAGGTTGAGAGAATTTTTTTTACAAAAAAGAGAAAAAATTTAAAATAAAAAATTATAATATATATACTGATAATTTTTTGACATAATGCTCAAATAAGTCGTTAAACTATTTAAGAATATTCAAGTAAACTCTTATTCTTTTATTTCGTTCGATCAAGCCCTCGTACTTTTATTTTGAATTAAATAAGCTCTTATAACTAATGATTCACTAATTTCTACTAATAAAAATACCATGTATCATGTTATATCCATATGACACTGATATGGTATTAATGTGTAGGATAAAAAATGTCACATGATTTAGTTATTATACCAAATTAACATAATATGTCATCATTAATTATGATATGCCAACATGTCATATTATAATCAATTATAATATTTTAAATTGTCACGTTAATGTCACGAGATATAAAATAACAAATAACATTTTAATTAAATCAATAATTAATAATAAAGATTTATTTGACTCAAAATAAAAAGTATAAAAATTTATTTGACTTAAAATAAAAATATAAAAGTTTATTTTCTTAAATAGTTTATGAGCTTTTTTGTATATTATGCCTAATTTTTAAAATTAGGAATTATTATTTTTAAAATTAATGAAGGAAAAAATTACTTTAAAAATATTGCTACCTTATCAACTTAATAAAAATATTAAAAACTGACTATCGATTAAACTTGTGCATTTAAGAAAATATATTCTTTTTGAGCTTATTTTACATTTTGAAAATTAATAAAATCGTGTAAAATTATGATTAAAATTTAAAAATATTAAGATATTTTACCTATTTAAAATATAGATAATACTCATTAGATAAAAAAAGAAATTATTCTCTTTTAGAATATATAATGTGTTGCCCACGCATTGCGTCGGGAAATACATACCTCCATATTCATCTCGATTGCTCTCGACATATTCTTTAACCTCAACTGCTATACCATTCACAAAGTCAAACCTGTTGTCGTCAGATAGTAACAGTCTCTCGATCTTCATTGTCAAAAGTTTTCCTCATTCCATATCCTCTTAACATGCTTTTCCAGGAAAGGGGTGGGCTGCAATTTGTACTGCAACATCTCATCCTTCTCTGTCAATTTTCTCCGACGCCAAACACAGCAACCACCACCTTCACTTTGGAAGCAGCAAACAACCTGAGAGCTTGAATTGGAGTTGAAACGTGGTGAATTAGCCCCTACTTTCGCCTGAAAATATGAATTAATAATTGTTTATTGATGCTTAGTTTGAGAAGAACAACTGTTTATTATTGATTAGTATGCAATTTTTGGGCCTTCTCTAGTTGGTGGTCTCCCTATTAGTGGAAGGGACTTATTGGGTTGATTTTCGTACAGGATGATCAAGGTAATTTTGAAAGTAATATTAATTAAAATATTATTTATTATTATATTTTAAAAAAATATTACTTGGTATTACATATCACATTATACTGATATGACATGTTAACAAATTATAATGATAATGACATAATATTTTAATGTGGTATGTTAATATGGTCATGTGTTATGTTTGACCCTTATCATCATCGTCATGTGAATTAAAATAATAAGCAATGTCTTGACATAATCTTCCTCTAAAGTTTGAATCTTTTTTCTCAAATATAAAAAAAATCATAAAAATTTAACTAAAATTTTATTTTTATTACATTCAATCAAATTTTTATAATTTTATATGAAATCAGATAAACTTTTATAATCAACTAATATTAATTAAAATGTTACTTATCATTATATTTTAAAAAAAATATTATTTATTATTATATATCACATAGTATTGACATTATATATTAACAAATTATAATGATAATAGCATAACATGTTAATGTAGTATGTTGATATGGTCATGCGTTATGTTTCACCTTTATCATCATCGTTATGTGGGTTAAAATAATAAGTGATGTATTAACTAGTGCATAATCTTCCTCTAAAGTTCGAATTTTTTTTCTCAAATATAAAAAAAAATCATAAAAATTTATCTGATTCAAAATAAATTTACAATGATCTACTTAAAAAGAATAATGATTTTTTTAATTTTTTTAAATAGTTTAAATTTTTTTTCAAACATTGTAACAATAAAAAACCTAAACATGGTACCTTACCGGGGGATGGGCTGCTTAATTTGCTACGGATTTATTTATTTTTTTTATATTCGAGTAGTTTTATGTGACACAATTTCGGACAAGTCACAAGCCCAGGTTTTGCCTACTGTCCTTCCTTAAATCCAAATAGGCAAAATACTATCACTCGGGAGTCAGCGCGTGGCCCGCATAGTGGTAAGCAGCGCGTAAGATGCGTGTCGGTTTTTACCAGTTGGATAACGAGGGAAAGAGTTGTGGATGGCAGTGGGCAGGGATGAGCTGAATGCCCCCTCTCCTCCAACCAAAGGAAAAAAAAAAATTACAACAAAGCTCTCTTCCTTGAAGAAAAGCCGTCAATCCAAAGGTCACTCAACCAAATAATATGTATGTTCATCCTTCTTTCCCTCTCTTTTCTCTCTTGTTCTTGTCTAAATGATAATATTTGCTAGATATTAGAATGATCACTTTCTTTTTCTTCTTTTTCACTGATCAACCATTAAGGGACTGAATTAGGCTTCTTTAACAGTTCTATATATTTATTTGTTGGTCATGGCAACTTTACTCAACTCCATGTCTCCTATGACAAACCCGTCACCTGAAACAACGAGGAAAACACGTGGTTTCTTTTACCAAATCCCAAACCTTCATTCTTTTTCACTCAACAAGGGTTTTACCAGAGTTTTAGCAACTACCCAGATCACAATTTCTCCTAAAGACTCTGTTTTTACTTTACCAAATTGGAAGACGGGGAAGAATGACACTAAAAGTAGGGAACTTAGGCTTAATGAGGCTTTTTTTCATATGGAATATATGGTTGGGAAAGGACAGAAACCTGATGTAGCTCAAGCTACACAGCTGTTGTATGATTTGTGCAAGGCTAATAAGATGAAAAAGTCAATTAGAGTGATGGAGATGATGGTTAATTCTGGTATCATACCTGATGCAGCTTCTTATACTTTCTTGGTGAATCACTTGTGCAAGAGAGGGAATGTTGGACATGCAATGCAGTTAGTGGAAAAAATGGAGGCTCATGGTTACCCAACTAATACTGTTACGTATAATTCTCTAGTTAGAGGGCTTTGTATGCATGGAAACTTGAATCAAAGCTTGCAGCTGTTGGATAAGTTAATACAAAGGGGACTGGTTCCCAATGCGTTCACTTACTCTTTCTTGCTTGAGGCTGCTTATAAGGAAAAAGGAGTAAATGAGGCAATGAAGCTTTTGGATGAGATTATTGCCAAAGGTGGGAAGCCTAACTTGGTTAGTTACAATGTTTTGTTGACTGGGTTGTGCAAGGAAGGGAGGACTGATGAGGCAATTAGGTTCTTCAGGGATTTGCCTGCTAAAGGATTTGATCCAAATGTTGTGAGTTATAACATTTTGCTAAGGAATTTGTGCTATGAGGGACGGTGGAAAGAAGCAAATGAGCTTTTGGCGGAGATGGATGGTGAGGATCGTTCTCCTTCTGTAGTTACTTACAATATATTGATTGGTTCTCTTGCCCTTCATGGAAGGACTGAACACGCTTTGGATGTTTTGGATGAAATGATTAGGGGACGTTTTAAGGCCACTGCTACAAGCTATAACCCGATAATTGCTCGTCTTTGCCGGGAGAAGAAAGTGGATCTTGTGGTTAAGTGTCTAGACCAGATGAGCTATACACGTTGTAAACCTAATGAAGGAACGTATAATGCTATTGCTGTGCTCTGTGAGCAGGGAATGGTGCAAGAGGCATTCTCCATAATTCAAAGCTTGGGGAGCAAACAAAGTTCCCCTCCGCATGATTTCTACAAGAGTGTGATTTCTAGCTTATGCAGAAAAGGAAACACATATCCAGCCTTTCAGCTTTTATATGAAATGACAAAGTCTGGGTTCAATCCGGACTCTTACACCTATTCGTCATTAATAAGAGGGTTGTGCTTGGAGGGAATGCTGCAAGAGGCGCTGGAAATTGTCATAGTAATGGAAGAAAGCAATTATAGGCCTGATGTTGACAATTTCAATGCACTTATATTAGGATTCTGCAAATCCCACAGAACCGATCTGTCTTTGAAGGTTTTCGAGATGATAATAGAGAAAGGTTATATGCCGAATGAGACAACTTATACTATTCTTGTGGAAGGGATTGCTCATGAAGGAAAAATAGAGCTGGCAGCAGAAGTATTGAAGGAGTTGCATGTTAGAGAAGTTGTGAGTCAACATGCTGTAGAGAGACTTGTTATGCAGTACAACCTTTCTGCTATAGATAACATTTGATTCTTAGTTTGCCAAAATATGGACAGGAAAATGGAAAAAATGAAAGATTATCATTCTGTTGCTTTGTGCAAAATTGATTCTTACTGTTCAGATATTTGACAGTGTCGAAACATGAATTTTGTTCTGAAAAAAAGAAAAAGTAGCTTGAGATCGTTTGGCACTGTATCCAAAATTTTGAAGGTGGTGAGAAGAGGTATCAAGTTCAAGCAGAATGACTCGACTTTATGGTACTTCTTTATCTGCTTGAGCTGGTTAATGTTTTGCTGTAAATCCTGTTTATTTTGTAGAGCTTTTGTTTGGTATGTCGAAGTTGATTTTGGTTGATATGAAATGATTAACAAATCCCCTTCTCAACAGACATCTAATGGAAGACTCATTTGACACTTGCTGTCCTCTTAGTCATCATGATGCTTTCTCAAATTCATAAATCAGTGTGTAAAAATTCTTAGATGGATCAGCTTTTTCCTCCTAATGCCCTGTTGGATGTGAACTGAAGAGGTCTACTCTTCCATTAGATTTGAGCTCTTCTTGAAGATGTTTTATAATTATTATTTGCTGAACTTAGAGATGCAAATATGGTTTCAATTTTTCTTTTCCCCAAAAGAAGAGAAATTGTGTTTCCAGATTATGGAACAGCTTCTTTTCCCAATATCTATTGGCTGTTCAAATCTATCAAGCTTGGGCAGGATAGATCACACCCTATAGAGAGAGAGCATTCAAGATTAGCCCCAATGGAAAGTCATGAGATTTCTTTGTTAAGACCTAGGAGTTCAACAAACTATCAACCATTGTACCAAAGCTTGAAACTGCTACTATGGCTTCAAATTTAAACCCCTCTTTTCTTTTCCCGGGGAGAGACTGGTATTATTTTCCCATTTTGGTTGCACCGGGTACAGAATTCCAACCTAACTTTGCATACCGTTTATTAACTATTTTGTTTTTGACAACAAAATAAAAATTGGGACAAAGATTGCTCTCCAATATCTTAATTTTACGACTTTTCATGGGGAGACAAGAAAATAAGATAAAAAGAAAGATCAGTCATGCGGCAAAACATTACCAATTCCGACTGAACTCTATTAAACAGTTCTTGCTTGTTGACAAATACAACCCAATAACAAATGAATGACTAACCATACTCTTGTTGAAATTGGAAGACTGAGACTTAAATACTAGCAAGCAGTAACATAAAATCTCAGTGAGGCTAGACAAGGGAGATTTGACAGTCTTTCAACTTTGTAAGCAATGCAAGGGAATTTGGAAGAACCAATCACAACCATTGTGATATAGAACTCTTAACCCATCAAGCCTAGGGATTTAAACAGACCTTTAAACCTTCATTTTCAGAAAAAACCTTAAGACACTGGGCAAGCCCATTTCTTTTCTTCATTTCCTTAAGAACATAAGTTGGAAACAAACTTCTGTACATAAGCCTTAACATCTTTGTCGTGTTATAACCCACCAACCTCAAGCCAATTGCGAATTGTGGTCTCAAATTTTAGAACCTCAAAACACAGACAAAAACAGTTTGCATTATGTTAAATTTTATCCTGAATGCTTGACAATATTGGGGAACAATCTATCTCACACATAAGACTATAGTAACACAACCAATTATCTAAGAATAGACAAACACCATTAAGTTTTCAATTTCACTTTTTGAAAGCATTTTAAGGATAACACAGTCTACACAGCTCAAAACATAAAAGCCCAACATAATATTTTGTAGTACTAGACAACATCTCAAATACTCTTAATACATAACCTAAAATTAGAAGACAGAACAGATAAGAGTGCCCGAAAAAACATCCTCCAACCTTCACAACTTCATACAACATATGCTGGATGATGATGGCAAAGACAAGGAGATATCAGGGTAAAGCCCATCTTTTCTGTGTCCATGCACCTACTTGGATCTCTGCCTCATCTTTCGGCGCTTCCTCTTCAGCCTCCTCATGCGCTTCTTCTTCCACTGAAATGCATAAGAACATAAGCAAAGTAATCCTAATAAAAAGATATGATCAAGTTTAGACAAATAAGATAGTTAACATTTGATCCAAATGGCCCATATAACAATTTATTCTAAAATGTAAAATTTCAATTTTTTTTTTTCAAAAGATATCAATGTGACAATAAAATTCCTTTGGGTAAAAGACTATTTCCACTCCCTCAATTTAAGCCACAATTCCACTCCAATAAATGAGACAAAACTTACAGAAAATGACCAGTGCTTTGAGTTTACTAATGATAAATACGTATAATCAAGATGCATACATCGAGTCAAACTAACCAACCCTGGTTGATTAAGTGAACAAGGTCTTTCTTCCAATCGCCCCAACAGAATTACTAATTAAAAACTTATGAAGGAAGAATTTTACGAGTAATTTCTAACAGAGATTGCCTCATGTTAACCGCCACAAAAGAGTACAGTTCCCACCACGTAACAAATTAATCTTCCCCATTACATTTAATAGCACCTATGCAAACTAAAACCCAAGAACAGCATCTATATTGACAACGACAATATCAGCAACATTTCAAATAGTTAACCCTTATCATCAGCAACATTTCCAATAATTACCCTCTAACGTCAATTTGGATAAAGTCAGCCAAATCGCCTTTGCTGAAGGCTTCTCTCACTAGCTTTCCTAATTTTTACTAACTAGAAATTTTAGAAATTAGGTTAACCTATTTATTGATAATCAAAGGTTCCAAGTTCTGATACTCATTACACTTAAAAATAGCAAATAAGTAATCGTTTTGCCATGTTCTCTCATCTAACAAGCAGATTATAAAAGCGATTATAAAACCCTAAAATATACTATAGATTAAATACTAGAAATTAAACAACCAAAATCAAAGGAGGGGAAAACAAATTAATTTCCAAATGCAAATAATCTGGATACACAAATCACACAAAAAGTAACGAAAAGCTTAGTACCGCGAGATGAATCTCAGAGAAAGAGGAAATTACCTTGGCCCTCATCTTGGATTAGCTCCTTCGTTTACAATTGGCCGACGATGCCTCTAGGAAGTAGACGAGATTACCTTGGGAATTCAAAGCAAGGGCTTCGTTCGTTATTTAAAGGCCCACCCTCTGGAAACCCTAATTCGTGTCCCATTTTGGGTTCACGTGCCGCAGGGTAATTTGGTTATTTCCCTCGTCTCCTTTTTTTTTATTTTTTTGCAATATCTTCGTTTTTTGTTATACAAAGAGTTTGAAAATCCAACCACAATTTTCTTAAAGACTTTAAATTAGAATAATTTAAATACCTTGATATTTTTGCAATTGATAATTTTGCGATTTTTTTATTTTAAAATATTATTATAAAAATATAACTAAAAAATTTAAAAAGTAATATCATAATCAATGTTACAGGGACCAAGGAGCTATGGCCCCTTGAAAAATTTGAAAATTTTTCTATACATATATTATTTTCTCAAAAAATTTTATTTTTTCTATAAATAAATTTGTTAAGCCCCCCAAAATTTAAATTTATTGTTTTATATATATTCATTATTTTTATTACTCTCGTCTATTAATACTGTACAACAAAAATGAATTCTATATACTATTGCTAAAATCACAACTCTTTAATTTGATTTGCTCATCATAAATGATTTTTAAATTAAAATTTTAAAATTAATAAGTTTTTCATTACTATATTAAGAAAAAAATCATGCAGATTTAACATATATTATTCTTATAACTAAAATTAAATGATAAATACTCAAATTAATTTTGTGGCTTCCTTATTTTTCATTTTTTAATAGAATCTATGTTCTACTATATCTTTTATGTCTTTTTTTTAAAATTTTAATATACTAAAGTAATTAATACTCCCTGACTAATTTTTCATGTTCATAATTTAAATTCACCAAGTAAAATATTCGAAGGCTTCAAGATTTATGGCCTCAAAGCCTTCATTGTAATTTTTTAAGATATTTTTATATTATTTTTAATAAATTAATTTTTTATTTATGTATATATTTTAATTTTAAACTTAAATCATTGAATACAATAATATGAGATGTTAATAGAGTTGATTAAAAATCACAACATTAGTTTGATCACTCTAAAAATAAATGTCTAGATATGTCGTTGATTATAAATAATTTAAAATGAACAAATAATTAGTATGTAACATCAGTAATAACATAACCAATCTCGATAAAAATAGAATCATATATTTTGTAATCTCAAAATGTTTTCGAGTTTATGTATAATCTTTCAAAAAATTTTGGCATAATATTCAAATAAATCTTTAAACTGTAAAAGAAAATTTAAATAAACTTTTATTTTTTTTTTACGTTCAATTAAGCATTTTGTATTTTTATTTTGAATCAAATAAGTCCTTATGATTAACAATTGATTAATTGTCATTAGTCAAAATGGTAGTTATCATTGTATATCGATATGACACAGACATAGCGTTAATGTGAAAAGTGAAAAATGTCACATGGTCATGTTATCATGTCAAATTAGCATGTTATATTATCATTAATTATGATATATTAAAATACCACAGTATCATGAATTATGATACATTAACATATCACATTAGTGTCACATAGCATAAAATGACAAATGACATTTTGACTAAGAACTTGTTTGACTTGGTTTTTTTTAACTTAAATGATATTATGAAGCTTTTATGAAAAATAATAGCCCTTAAAATTAAGCTAAAATTGTTTAACAAATTTACTTTTATAAGCTCTTTTTTATAGATAAGTTGATTGGCAAAACAATTTATATAAACTCTAATTTTAGCTAAAATTACCAAAAAGGGACATCGATTAAGAGAAAGGGTTTTTTTCTTTAAGAAAGTAATGTTAGGATTATTTTTAATAGATAAGAATATTTTTAGAATAAAAAAAAATTTCCTTAAAAGTTAACGTGTCTTTAAAAGAAGAAAAAGTAAGTTCTTCTCTGTAACTTTTCCCAAAAGCTCTTTTTTTTAAAAAAAAAAAATTGTTTCTCAAAATCATATAGCCTGGCTTTTGTTTTAAAAGATATATAAGCTAAAAAAAGAGTCAAACCAAATAGACACAAATCAATTATTAGTTATAAAGATTTATTTGACTTAAATTAAAAATATATGAGTTTATTTGACTCAAAATAAAAATATAATAGCTTGATTGAATGCAATAAAAATATAAAAATATATTTAATTTTTTTTGAATAATTTAGGAACTTTTTTATATATTATATCGTAAGATTTTTACTTATTTGCTTCCTTTGAAAGATGTGTGGTGCAAATAATGGTGAAGATTTCTAAGATTGAAGAAAAGATAAAATTTATGATTAAAGAAGAAAGCTTAAATATAGCTAACCATTGAATAGTTATAACTTGACTATAGCTTGAACATTTAAATACAAAATTGAAATGCTCCTTAGTTTTGTAAAGTGAAATATGAATAGTAATTAAAATTTTCAATCGTATATAAATTGATTAAATGTCACAATTTTTTAATAATCAAAATACTTAGAAGGTCTTTGTGCTCATTTGTTTTGTTCAATTTAACCTTTTTACTCTAATTTGAAGCAATTCAGTCTCTTGATTTTAGAAATTGCTCCACGTTAGTACTTCTCCCTAACGACATCCAATTTAGCCGTTAAATAGATTGATGTGACATGGCACATTTTTGTTGACATGGCGATGTGGGGTAGCGACATGTTGACACAGTGCTACCATGACACCCTCACATGCTGACGCGGCATCACCATCTCATATTTTTAAGTTTGTGTTGTTGACGTGGCATGTCAAGTGATGTGGCAATGCTACATTAGCGTATCAAAGTGACGTGGCATTACCACTTTAGCATCAACACTCAGGTTGCTAACGTGGCACATGTTGGAGCCACGTGGCATGCCCAGAGATTAACATGTCACTCTCTTCTTTTACAAAAAATGATGTGCTCTTGCTAAGGTTCGAACTAAGACCTCTAGTAAAAAAATTAAGCTCTTCACCATCATGTTTTTTTTGAAAGGCAAAGTTTTATTGCTTCATTTTGTCTTAAAAAAAGACTTATAGAAGTAGAGTTGATCAAAAATCACTTGAGATGGATAGGCAAACATTAGATAAAAGGAACCTAATGTGCCATAAGAAAAAGAGAAAAACTAACATTTCGATTCAAGCCTATAACTAAAAACTATTCTTGTTTTTACTGCATTACATTAAAAACACAAACTAAAACAAAGATTGTATAAACTAGCGTGGAGTAGTTGAGTCTTGGAGTGTTCCCTTTTGGTAGATGTCAAAGTAGGCTTTGAAGTTAAAGACTTGTAGAACTCCAGCTTTTGCTAGGCCATTAGCCATTGAATTGGCTTCCCTCAAAATATAAGTAAAGGAAATCCCCACATTACTATGCAAATAAGACTTAATAGCATTTGTGATGAATTTCATATGACATGGTACCTTGTTGTGGTCTCTGGTCCAATTGATGGCATTGGAAGAATCGCATTCAACTTCAAGATGGTGAGTTGAAGCAGGCTTGGGAGAAATTGAGTGATGAACCCATGCGTTAAAGAAAGAGATAGTATCACCAGGAGAACCCAAATGACGCCTCAGTTGAGACAACAAGCTGTCCATGTTTCCCATGCAATCATACATCCGAAAAATAGATGAAATGGGGTCTTAAGATGAAAGTTGCATAAGGTACACATTACATTATTAGCAGTCATAAGCCCTCTTTCCATCAGAATGGATTTAGCACCCATTTTGCCTTTCAAGACTTGCCAACAAAAAGTTTCCATTTTTGGACGTGTATTTTTAGTCCATACATGACTCTAGAAACTATCAAAGGATTGAGGAATGTCGTGGAAAGCTTTACAAAAGTAAGATGAGGAATAAAAACCACTTGTGGTCTTTTTCCAAATTACAATATCGTTATCAATTCGATGAGGTTGAATGTTGCTTATAAGAGCTCTAAATTCTTCCTACTGATCTATCTCCCAATTGAATGATTGTCTTCTCATGTTAATATCCCAAATTCATTTTTGATTGACGCAATTCCCTAATTCGACAATGGTGGCCTTTTTGTCAGTTGCCAAAGCATAGATGTGAGGCAAAATCAAAGAAAGAAGGGCTTTACTGGGCCAAAGATCATTCTAAAAGAAGATAGTGCTCCTTTTTCCAAGAAAATGACCAAAATTGGAAGTGACCAATTCGTGATATCTAGTGGAGTGTTGAAGAGGTTTAGAAATGTGCTTCCAAAGGAGAGAAGGTTTATGGGGTTTGTTAAAAGGTAACATACAGCTTAAATCAAGTTTGTTCTTAGTCGAGAAACCTTGCGCTATAGATTGTCAGGTTCATATGCATACCTCTATAGACACTTGTTTAGGAGAGCTCAATTTTTAAGCTCCAGGTCCATAATCCCTAAAACCCCTTGGCTTTTAAAATTGCAAATAGACAGCCAATTAATGTAATGCAACTTTTTCTTATCAAAATTCCCTGACCATAAGAAATTCCTCTAGATGCCATCAAGTTTATGCTTAACCGAAGTAGGCATCTAGAAAATAAAGAGAGAATATAAAGGAAGACTAGAAAGAACTGAATTGATGAGTGTTAGTCATCCCTCCATTGAGAGAAATTGGCTTTTCCACCCTACAAGCTTAAATTGAAATTTTTCAACAATTAGTTGTTAGGTGAATGAGGAGCGAGGGTAGCTCCCAAGACTGAATAAGACTAGTGTCAATGCCTTAACCAAGAGGACTACTTTTGGAAAAAATTGATTTTGAGCCCAAAAATAGCTTGAAAAATTCTAAGAATTTTTACAATGTTAAGAAGCTAGAGAGAGTAAGACTCACAAAAAAGGAGGGTGTCATCGACAAACTGAAGATGATAGATCATAATCTGGGAGCATTCAACTTGGATGCCACAAAAGAGTCCCACCGAGGTGGTTTTGTGAAGCATGGAATTAAGAGATTCTGTAATACTATTAAAAAGAAAAGGCGAGAGGACATCTCTGTCGTAAGCCTCTTTTAGTCAAGAACTAAGCTGTTGGGGTGCCATTGAGTAACACTAAAATAGAGGCTGTAGAGATGCATTGCCTTATCCATCCTCTCCATTTAGTCTTAAATCTCATTTTTTTTCCATAATGAAGTCAAGGAAATCCCAATCGAC